AACACGATTGGAGAGAATTTGGCCTACCCGCCCATGCGACATGGATTAAGAACATGTAATCCTTGGAATTGACGAACACGATGGAATCTCGAGCTGCTTCACAAACTTGGTAGGCCTCTTCAGCACGGTTATCGAGGGCAAGGCTGATGGCGTAGTCAAGGAATAGTTCGAGCCATTCGCCGAAAGGAATGCCTCGATAGCCGTCGTCCTCGTACGTTACGTTCGTCCTCCTCTCATCCGTCAGAGATGGTGCCATATCTGTAGAAACTTAGTATAGGGGCAAAGGCAGTGTTCGAGGCGATCAAATGCATACTTTTGGACAATCTTTCGGCCAGTTCAGAAAGGCCAGGCTGAGTTCGGGATGAAGCGCTGAACACAACATCATTGGCGGCTCCAAGAAACTTGAGGTATTTGTCCCAAGGATAGAACTTTCTGAAGGATCTAAACTCGCCAACAAGATCGCCAGCAGCGGCCATCCACGTTGGGATTAGGGAGTGATCGCCTGCCTGAATCTCCTTCTTTAGGCTGCGCACAACTTCGTATCGCCTTGTGAGCTCATCTGCCCGGGCTCGCTCCTCCTGCATCCGTTGATCGGGAGCTATCAGGCGCTTCGGGCGATATCTCGGGCGAACAATTCCGCTGTTCGCAGGTCGGCGCTTGTACTCCCGTCTACGCCGTGACTTGGCGCCATCAGCCAAACCGGAGGCTAGAGATCCTGATAAACGGTGACTTCCAATGCCACGCATATCTCCACGGCTGTCGCTAGCCAAACCCCCTTCATCGTTGATGCCCTGAAGAGCAATCGCTTCAGTCACGAGAATGTAAGCCTCCTCTTCTTCCTTTGCCTTTTCGTATATCGTAGCTAGTTCATAACGGGCGTCGATATTAGTCTCGTCGACCTGAATAGCCACAAGAAAGCAGTCTTCTGCCGCAACGTTGTCGGATTTCCTCAGGTAGCAGCGGCCGAGTTGAAGCAGTAGGGTCGCGTCTTGCCCGTATACAGAATGTCGCAGCAGTTCGTAGTAATCTAGTGCCTCCTGGTAGCGCTGGGCGGCGCAGAGTTCATCTGCAATATCTCGAACAAGGTAGGGAAAGTCCTCGATAGCGGTAGCCGTGGCAGATTCAGTTGGATCTAGCCACTGTAGATGGAGCTAGCAGGGTATCAGTAAATGCTGAGGCATCTTGCGCCACTGGAAGACAGCAGTATACATACATCTGATTCCTCGTCGTCTCGGATCTTCAGCCGGTATAGAGCAAGACGGGCCCTGAATTCCAGAGGCAATCCCATGCCATAGGTGTACATATTGTAGGCAGAAGGGTCGAAAGAGGGGATTTGGACACGGCGAGAATGATCGCGATCCCACTCCCTGTCATCGAAACAATCATCCCATAGTTGGTCGTTTGGTCGTCCGAGCAGCCAGCGTGAAAGCGACTTGAGATCTGCAATGGCGTTTGCGAAGTCTCCAGCGCAGGCAAAGAGCTCCACATAAATGCCGATGTCGTGCCATGATAGTTCCCCCCCTGCTTCCTGCTCAATACTTCGTGCATGTGCGAAGTACGTCTTGTAAGCCGAGACAGCCTTCTGGACATCTTCCATGCCTCCAGAGTCGGCGCAGGCTTCTGCCAATCGTCGAACGACATCTATGTCCAGCGGGCGGCGCTCAATGACGTAGGTGAACTCCGTTATAGCCTGGGAGAAGAAGCCCTGGCGGTGACTGGCTTCGGCTCTACCTAGTCTAGCTTCAAGGCTCGTTGGTTGAGCCTTGATTGCAGATGAATAGCACATGAGGGCGGTCTTGAGAGCGCCTTCCTGACCGCCTTCGGCAAGGCTCATGGCAAAGGACGCACAATCCATCCACACCGCGAAGTCTTTGGGCCTCAGATGAGCAGAAATGACCATAGCCATCAACGCTTGGTCATTCGCGCCTTCTTCCCGGAAAATGGATGCTAGGACGGTCCATGCCTGATGAGTTTCGGCATTGATTCTGATGATCTCGAATACAAGATCCCGAGCGAGGGCATAGTTCCCACTCATAAACGCCTGGTTCACTCCCGCAAGACGAAGCTTGATGTCGCCTCTAGGCTCAGCAGCCTTTCTGGGACCTCGGATGGAGCGCGAAGCATGTTTGCTCCTTGATATCGGCGGTGCCCTCCTCAATCCTCCGTCATCGCCATCAATGCCAGCGCCAGCGCTGGCCCCAGTAGTGTGATGTGAAGAGAGAAACTCTCGTACAGACTGTTCATACTTGGCGATATCGCCTCGGAGCTCCATCTCATCTGAATCGGCATCCGATACAAGATCATCATCGTCGTCATCGACATGGGCATTGTCTTCGAGGTTCGCAGCCTCGACTTCTTTCCATGTTGAATCCATGATGGCAGAGCTAGACGAAATAATCCGATTTCGATGAGCCGGAAAGGCTCAGAACCATTTGCTGTGCGAGGGCAATGATCTGCTGAAAGAGGTTAGGATTGCAAGTGACAAGAGCGCTCAGGAATAGCTGTGTCGGCAAAATCGGTTTAGAAACTTCCTACCTGAGCATTTATCTTGTCGATAGATGATGTGGTTGGCTGAGTCTGCGGGAAATAACCAACCTTTCTTGTGTGGTCGACAAACACCCAGTCCCTTCGAATCGTCTTATCGCGCAGACCGAAATTGGCGGATTGACTGCGAAGTAATGTAGATAGATAAATACAGGCCTCGTGGCTCTAGCGGAAACGCCACCATGCCGTTGGCAACGAGCTGTAGCCGAAAGATTTGGGCAGGCTAGTGTGTCCGAAACCGAAAGTGCACAACAGCTTTCAGAAAGGCAAGAGTTAGAAAGAAGAGGTCGTCGCAGCTGCAAAGTATGAAGCTGATCAAGCATCCCGGAAAAGGCAGAAAGAAAGGTAACGGTACGTGCACCGCGGTATCTACCCAATTACCTCACCTTTGCATTTACGAAGTTCCCCACTCTGCTTTTAAGGTAAATTTGACATATCCTCCTCGCCTAACAGCTTTTTTGCCCCCTCTGGCGAGTAACAATGCTAGTGAACAATGTGACCTCTGAAGCAAATGGCACTCTTAATTTCTTGTCGGTGTATGTCGATACCCCCTTTTCACAGGGAATCGACTCAATCATGTGGCACAATCGCTGATCAGCAGATCCAGATAAGATAATGTTCTAGAACGGATATTCAACTCTAACACAATCGACGCGAGTAGCCACTCGAAGACATGATCGCTCCTTCTCGATGCGACTGAGTTTTAGATCCATTAAAGACCCTCACGAACAATCATCAGCCACGCGTTGTAAATATGGAGGCGCTTCCTTGCGCGCAGCGGGACACGTAAAGTTATCTTCTTATATATGTACAGAAGCACAGAGTGAGCGAAAACTGACCCTTGGTAGAGGTTTACCTACCCTCCGGACCACTAATTAGATACACACCCGCAATTTTTCATGCTTATACCCCCTTACTATGCTTGTTGTCTATCCAACAACACATTGAGGCCACTGGGCCTGTGGGCGCGTGAATGGTTAAATGTGTCTGTGTGTCCTTGGTGTGGCAAAAGGGGTAAGAACAGCGCACACATCTTCCTTGCATCAACCGTCAAATCCCTTTTTAAGCAATCTTACCATCATTTTTGGCCTCTGTTCACATAGCGTTAGCGCTGGTGCCGCAGAAAAGCTGGCTCGGAAAAGTACCTACCCTTCACTTGCTCAAAAACCTTGAGCATCTTCCTCCTAGCTCCGAGGGCGTTGACTCCACGATCCTCCAACGCCTTGTCGTCGAGCTCAATCAATTCATGCCACTTCATGTCTTTGAGATTTTCAGTGTACTTGTGCAACCGCAAGCTCCTCAGCCAGCTGGGAATATCCTGAAGAAGGGTCGGGTCTGTCGGGTCTTCAGGCGGCTTTGAGCTACCCCTACGACCTCGGGGAGATCGGCCACGGACCATATCGGAGTGGTCTGAAAGGTAACCTTCGTGGTTTCCTACACCTAGCTGGCCCACGTTGACTGAAGGGATGCCGTTGTTGAGAAGAGGAGAGGCGCCATCATAGGCGCTGAGGAACCCATTGTTCTGCGGAGAAGCGAAAGCCATGGGCCCGAAGCCTCCGGGCTGCATGGCAATGCCAGGCGAGCTGGGTCGAGATCGATGTTGGCCGAAGCCCATGTTTTGTGCCTGCAAAGCAATCATCTGCTCGCGACTAAGCACCTGGCCGTGCTCGTTGATCATGACCACGTTGGTATTGGGAATCTGCGCATTCTGAGGCAGACCCTGCTGGCCTGGAGCACCTGGAGCATCGTTGGATCGGGCACGGCGATACTTGCGAACATCATCAAGAGCGAAGCGATTGTTAACGGTCGACAAAGCTGCTAGTTTCATCGCGGTGGCATTTGCGACCATGTCGGCCTGCGTACCGCTAGTATTGGCGTTGAAATTCGCCACGAGCGGAGTATTGACCATCGACGCCCAGTTACCACCACTCGGGTTATAGGGGGACAGGAGAGGGAGGTCTGCCGGCTTGTCATTGGTCGTCAAAGTGGTGTTTTGGATATTCTGGTTGCCCGAGATCTGAGGCGGGCGAGGAGACCTCAAACCACTCGACGGGGGCGGCTGGACAAACTGACCCATCGGGGTTTGACCACCCGGAGCTTTAGATCCCTGAACCGATTGATCGCCTCCAGTCCACTGGTTTTGACCATTGGAGTCATGGTTGTCGGCAGGGCCCGCGATTGTCGGAGCAGCCATAGACTGCCGAGAATCACCTACAGCGCTGTTGCGGTTGGACGAGGGAGGGTTGCCCGTCTGCTGGGTGAACTTGGCCTTCTCGGTCGCAATGGCTGCGGCGGCGTCAGGAAACATTGCATTGATGGTGGAAGGATCAAGTCCCGATTGCCGTTTGCCGGTGGCAGTGCTCGTAGGGCGGGCGAGGGAGTTCCTGGACGAATCAACATTCAGCTTGTTCATGGCGTCGCTCAGGCGGTTCGACATTGGATCTGGAATAGACACGTTAGCCGAAGGACAGCAGGATAGTAAGAAGCGTGTAATCATTCGTGCCTTTATCGAAGTTGGCCGGGGATAAGACGCCCGACATGGGGTGGTTCTTGCCCATTTGCTGTAGAACCTGAATGAAGAACCGAATCTGCACTTGGGTGGTCTGCTGCAGCAAGGCGTACAGAGCAGCAGTGCGCTCGGCCTCGCTGAGGACCCTGAACCACTGCTCAATAGCACTTAGTTCGTCCTTGAAGTCCTGGTCGAGAGTAGCAGCGGCCATTTCTTCCAAAGTCGTCTCGTACTGGTCGATATCGGCAATCCACTGTTGGGCGATCTTGTCTTGGGGATCGGCCTCGGGGTTACTATGACCCTGGCCCTGCTGAGAGCCGTAGAAGTCGGACGACGGGCGGATCCGGCTCGAGGGAGATGCGTTGGAGAGCGCAGCCATGTCGGCAGAAGCTCGAAGGTGGCTGTTGGCTCCCATAACTCTCGAGGAGGGGGGGCGAAGAGACGGGTTTGTGTTGGCCTCCGGGGTGCTGTTGCGGTTGCCCGCAATGTGACTGCCAGACATATTGAGCATTGTCGACAGACAGCGCAATGATAGCGAGGTAGGAATCGCGCTGGTAACGGCGGCGAAGTTGATGTCGTGAAGACGGTAGAAAATTGGCAGGTGGCAGATGAAACGATGCCGACGACCAGTGAAGGGTGTCGTGTCTTTGTGTGATGATGGAAGGGGGGTCGGCCCGGGCAAGGAGGGACCAGCGCTGTTTCGAGATTTCGAATGACGGTAACGTCAATCGAATCAGCAAACAAGCCTAGCCTCTGTGACTCTGTGATTTGAATCAAGAGTGGGAGAGACGGAGAGAAGCTACAGCAGCAAACGGTGTAAATCCACGTTAGCGATCACACGCTCGCCTGTCAAGAGATCCAAAGGGACTTGTTGACTTGGTTCGTTCAAGTGAAGACAATAGCCCCGAACGGCCTGTTCTTTTTTTTTTTCGTGTCTCTGGCTGCGGCAGAGCTCAGACGGCGCGAGTAGTGAATCGTAGGGTACGTATTCGCTGCCCAAAGCTCCTGCAGAAACCTGCTGACCTCAAAGGAGTCGGGGATTAATTCTAATGAGGAACTGCTGCTTAACACATGTCTCTCCGAACGGATGACAGGGTCTGGTTATCGGGCCAGAATTTTGGGGTTTGGTTGAATGTCTAGAGGAGGGTCCGAAAGAGACAGTAGCCGGTGGCGCAAGCCGAAGCTGCTGATATGGGAGTCGAGGCGAGTCGCGTTGTGCTTTGTTCTGCTTTCCGTGTGCTCTACCGCAGCGAGGGGCGCGGGCGACGACAACGGAGCCGGGGAATCTTGGGAGTGGTGGGAGCGGGATGACAAAGGTAATGCACTTCTGGCAGGCGGGCAGGAATTATTCAAGAAATGCTGCTTCCAGGCAGGTAGGTAATACGATATTCAAGGCTGGCGTCGTCTGAAAGTATTACCCGGGGGTGGTGGGAACAAAAGGGGAACGGAATTCGCTTCTCGAATTTGCAGGAGAGGTACTCATTCATGTACTGCACTGCACCACGGCTGGCAAGCGGGAAGAGGAGGGAAAGAAGGGTTCAGCAACGTGGCGTGGTCGCTGCTTAGTCACCGGGTTGGTGCAGTTATTCAACCTTACCACCTGAGGTAAGGCAGGGTGCCTCGCACGCCGTACAGCATGGGGCCCGCCTCTGAGACCTCTGATCTCAGGTAGGTAGTTACCTCAGATAGATCGGACGGAGTACCTTGAGGTAGGTATCCGACCTCGAAAGTATTGGAAAGGGCACGGCAAGCTTTGATCGCACCGAGAGGAGTAGATATGGCCACACGTCCCCGTCGGGAATGTACCAATGATCCCCAATGAAAGCATGCTCACTATCAGCCAAGTTCCTGTGGCCCCCGTTGTTTCTTCGTTTCCCAGGTATTAAGGCGCAATTGGCGGGTATTTTCAACTTTAACTTTAGATACCCTTCAAGAGGGTACGTACGCGTCTCGCCCCAAATCCCCCTCCCCCGCTCTTTTCATCAACCCCCTTTACTTGCCTCATGCAAAAACAGAGAAGAGAGAACGGCATGGCAAGAATCCGATCCATCAGAGAGACGCCAATGCGTAGGTGTGTAGTGAGGTCGTTAAGTGGAATTGACGGAACGCCTCTCTGATTGAAGAAACGAGGCTGACTGGCGATGATTCTTTGAGCTTCCTTGCTGAGTTGCTTTGTTAAGCTGCCAGCATGCGACTTTGCCCCAGCGACGAATGACGCCCCTCCCTTTGCCAGTTAAGTGTCCAATAGCTTCATGAGTTGGTATTGAGTTACCGAGTTGCAAGTCAGCCATGGAGGCAATCAATTCATGTTGAGCATTTACGGCCTTTTCATCCTGGTCAGTGCGAAAGTACCACAGTCAAGGCAGCGAAACTGGGATTATAGACCCGCGATCCGATCTCACAACTTGCTCGGCTGGGCCATCCGGAACTTACGGGGAGAGCGTCGTACCGTAGCAAGGCAAGTTCCTGAATATTCAAGGCAAGTATCCGACTTGGATACCCAAACATATTGGATCGCTGGGGCAAATAGAGCCCATGGGACCCTGGAGATTCTCGGGGTTGACCGTTTTTCATTAATCACGTTCGATGTCGGGCGACCGTGGAAGGTCGGCGTAAGGTTTTCATCTACTTGGTTGTGATCCTTGAACTGGCCTGATATCGCACATCATAGTTCACCCATCGGGGCACGGCTGATGGACGTATAGTAGAGCCTCGCTGCATGTATCATTCCGTCACCACGCCCCTGGCAGAGTCATCGATCTCTCTTGTCGGGTGTCATCGTTTGGATTTCGAAGCAGCATATGCCCGACCTTCGCGGCTTGTTCGGTATCCGAGAGGGTTAAATCGTGCTTGATTCGTTTGCTGGCTCTTTCAACCTAATTGCCAGTTCCATTTGATTCCCTGATGCCCCAATGCGTCGCAGCCGTGCTGTAGAAGAGACCAATAACCATGCGTCCAATTTCCTGTCTATGCCGTCTCGCGCTTGCCCTCCTTCAGCTCCTTCTGTGAAACTTGTCAGCAAGCGTCGCGGTGGAGGTCGGTGTAACAAGAATCCTTGTAAACTGTTCTTTGGGGCAATCCGTACCAGGGCCTTCATGGTGCCGTGCAGAGCGTGACGATGGTTGCGGCGGAACTTGGGGTCAGTTCCCTTGAGGGAAGGGTATCTCGACGTCTTGGGCTTCTTGATACTACACGGCAAGAAGAGGAACAAATGGTCAGTAAAAGCACACCTCAGAAATCGGTTGGCATGGGCCAGAAATGAGGTTTGAAATCGTACCCGTTGCGGTGCGCCTTGCGCGACTGGTTGTGCTGCGAGGAGTTCTTGGACTCTGCGCTCAGAAATTAGCTAAGCTCTCCCGGTGCGAGCAACAAGGCTCGCAGAAACAAATCGTCGTGACTTACTGGCCATTGCTGCGGTCGGAAGGTGCCCCTAACGTTGAATACTAAAGCCTGGAGTTCGTGATGCGGTCGAGGGGATTTCGAGTATTGTGATAACGAGGCTGGCCGTGGGGTGGTTTGGTGCATGCTAGGCTCTTCGGTGTTGTGGGTCGAAAATCTGTGCCCTAATGAACTTGCTGAGCCATGGTGTGGCTGAGTCCCGTCGCGCTAGTGCGCCACCATTTGAGGTAGGTCCTTACATGATTGAATGGAGTGTGTCAGGCTTTCCAACCCGTATTAAATTATACCTCAGTTTTCATAATTGAGTACCTAAGATAGGTCTGTTAAGTATTCAGTGCGGATAAGTCATTGCAGGCAGGACTGCCGGTATGACTGCATGGAGCATCGCTCACCTTACCTACCGAGACAGATACCTACCTCTCATCGGTTGGAATATTTCAATGTCACTTTCGGACTATCGTCACGAAAACATAACCATATTTCTGATTCACATACCGCGAAGGGTTTCCTGGACTTTTGTGTGTCATGCTGTTATAATTCTAAATTACCTTGTCTACTTCCAAGACACGTAGGAATATCATCAAAGAGCAAATTTGGGGGATCGAAACGTGCTTTACTCTATCCTAGCTACCTTGAGTTGTCGGTTGTCATCTCTACTGTGCTAACCTCTTGTAGTGACCGTACAGTGCTCTTGTGTTCTATCCTTGTCACCATACAGATTAGTCCATAAGTTTGCCCACCCTGTCTACAGTCTACACCCTATGAGATATTATCTCATTTCGCTATACATGACGTCGAAAGGCCAGCCGCCATTGGCTCCTTGACGAGGTTACTTAGGCAGATGTATGCATGTCGCTACCGTTCTCTCAAAGAGGTTTGATGGCAGATGCGCTGCGAATAACTTCGGGACTCCGTGTAAAAGCCTGCAGCCGCTTCGACCTCAGCGTCCTGAGGTAGCGGAAGAAGAGGACAAACAACAACTCCATGCTATTCCCGAGTTAGCACCCTTACGATGGATATTTCAAGTCAAATAGCATCGTGCTTACCGCTCCTTTGTCATCATGAGGATGCCCTGGACAAGAAGGCCCTTGAGAATCTGTGGCCCCATACCCTTGAAGAGACCAGACACACCCTCTCGCTCCATGATGAAGTTCATTACCTCGATGAAGCTGCCGAAAGGCTTGCCCTTCCTTTCGGGTGGCGGCCTAGACTGCAAACCTACCTTTGCGACAATGAGAGGCTGTGTGGCAATCGTTGCGAGTGACTTGGAGGCAGCACCAAGAACTATATCATCATCATCAGCCAAAGCCGGCCCCGTCAAAACCTTGCAGTCCTGGAGGGTGCAATAACGTACGGAATGCCTCCCAAGGCTTGAGGTTATTCTTGCCAGGAAAGATGACTTCTTTCAGCCTCTCGTAAGCTCCGTAAGTGATTGCAGGATTCACCACGAGCACCAAGCTAGCCTTAAGACCCCTCCAGAGCCCGAACAGCCCATCCTCTCCATCGATAACTTCCCGTGCAGTGTCGACAAAACCTTTCCTCTCGGCCTTGCGTTGGGTTTGCTGCCTTGTCGTGATGACGGCGACAGGAATTGTACAGAGCTGGGCTACAGCGCCAGCGATCGCGCCCAGACTCAACTCGACGAGTGTCGAAGGTGGTGCCGAAGTTTTGGCAGAACGCAAGTAGAGGGCGCGCACAATGGAATACCAGTAAAAGTATGCAAAATTGGTAGAGGCGACGCCAAGGAGAGAACCACTCATGCCGGCGTAAAGGCCCTTGACGCCATCGTCAGCAACAATTTTGCTCAGGGCATCCCAGGTGGACGAATAATGGGGTTCGATAGGTTCGGAGGGATCAGTCGCTACTGCGCCGGATTGCGATTTCACTTGGACCTGTAGGCGCGTCTTGACGCTTCAACGATGAGAGGTTAGCCAAAGACGATCTCTATGAAAGAATACGACAGCATAGAGTGGCTTTGAGGCGGTAGAGAAGACAAATATGTGAGGGTGTGGGTATCGCGGCAGCATCGTATCTCTCACATGTCAAGCGGGTAGACTAAAGCATTGGCGAGCACAGCACCGGAGGCGCCAGCAACTGCCTTGCCCCAAGGTG